TAATCTTTCAACTGCTGCCTAGAGTGTTCAAATTCTTGAGCTCGAAAGGCCACGGGTTCTCCTCTACTCCCTTGGTCATTCTCATTTCACCTCATCATATTTGTCGAGTTTTGAAGACCAAGTTAAATACCTTTGATCATTGGGAATCGATGCTGCTTTCATTGGGCAAAACAAATTAAACCAAAGACAAGGAAATATTGGATGGAAAGGGCGGGTTTGCTTTATTGTAAATGTCAGCTTAGTACAGGGTTATCTGCCCACATCTAATAAACGAAAGTTTCCACGCTTTATAATAGCTTTTCTTTTTTTTTTCAGGCGAAGTTTAGATTAGATTTTGGCGTGCACAGAAAGCTGCGTAAGCGCCAGTTGTTCGACATACTGGCGTGGCCCGTGCGACGAAATACACGGGATTGAAAAAGTTTCAGTTACAGCAAATTATACAAAAAATCTACACTGGTAGATCTGATCGATTTCTCTTACATTGTGTGCTGAGACTGAAACTTTTCACCACGGGCAAAGCTTCGTCGCACGGCTCAAACAAACATAGCGAGCAACAGAGCTTCTCGTATATGTCCGTATTAAAACACACGAAAGGACTCTAAAGCACACTTCACTCTGATTGGGCAAAAAAAAAAAGATTTTCTGGCAGCAGTCAGATGCCAGAACGACTGCGACCGTTTGGAACTAGTCTTGCAAGACAATGTCCCCCGGGGCTCTTCTGCCCTTAACTTGAAATCGACTCACAGCCCCTGGGTCTGTGAGGATGACTATTTTTAAGATTGCTCCTAATCGTTATGTTGCGCTATACGCAAAACGTACTAAGTCGCCTGCCTCAGAATTACCTTTATCTGGAAATCAAACTAGTTTTGCGCTCTAATGAACGAGGATGGTAAGGAATAAAAAAGATTGGGGCGGATTTAACACGTTCCGCGACTTCCCTTCCTAAAGGTGATTTCATACGAAACTTTAGTAGCGTTAGAAGCGTTCTTTTCTTTTTTTTGCTGGACCGTTACCGCAATGGATGTGGTCTATGCCCCAAAACACCAACGCCGCACCCTTTATAGCTTTGGCGGATAGAGAGTCACAGTTACTGATAGAACTGATTAATGGCTCCTTTAGGAGCCACCCTCTCCTACGAAAGTCATGATCAGTAAAAGGTGTAGTGAAACCTTAGTTTAAATGTCTGTTTATACGTATAAAACATGTCAAAGGTATGAGAACCACACTTTTAAATTATACAACGTTGGTTGTAGTCATTATGTTAGTGCAAATGCAATATCTTTCGAATTGTTTATCGCGTTGTTCCAAATTACCTGTCTGTAAACGAAAGTAGTTTCCCGTTGAAATAGGGGATGCCGTGATAATGGCTAGAAATTTAAAAGATTAGAGGGGACTTAAAACCAAGGTTGTGATCAGCGAATTTACCATTCGAAGAAAAAAATGCGCTTCTTTTTCTTTAGCAGCACGTGATCACACTCTTCTCGACATTAGCCCTATATCACTATGTTAACGCTGCGCAATACAAACTGGAAGTATAAGCATCGCTCCTTTGATGATCTACATGGATTGTGTTTATATTTGATGAAATACACTGTAAAAGTTATTGACCTTTCATCGTGATGCCGAACATTAGCAGAGGTTCTTTTTACAATAATTTACTCAAAACTGGCGCGTGAGTACAGGATGAAACTTTCATGGTCACAGCGTGGTCACATGCTCAATATCCTCTCACTTATTTAGAGGTCAATAGTCTATTTTCCTCTTTTCTTTGTTTTGGGACTTTTTGGTGGGCCGGAAACATCAGCGGAGATGCCCATCTTCATGGCGATTTCTTCATCTTGTGCTTTTAATTGTTGATCCACAATTGTTTTGAGCTGCAGAAAGCAAATGAATTATTAGTGGATAGGGTACACTCTAGGCACAACTTGTGTTTGTAGGGCACCTTTCAGTGGAGACCAATAAGTTCGCGTCCTAGACTCGTGCTGAAGTGGAGTTTGATTCTTTGTGTTAAATAATCAATGCCCGTCAATTAAACAGTTACCTATTACTTCTGATTCAGTTTTACCTACCCTGTTACTTGAGTGTTCAAAGATTTTATTAGTGAAAACTGTTCGCCTCGCAATCTAAAAAGGTTTTACCAAGAGCAGAAGTATAGCACAAAAACTGTCATCTCCATTTCTGAAATTCATATATATGTGATTGCAGAAACAGTGACACTAAGTCTGAAAGTAAAGCACCGCTGTGACTGTCGTCTCACGCCACAAGGTGCCTCACATTAAAGGAAAATATACCGTATTTCCTCCAATCTGCGCCTGGATGCTTATTCAAAATTTCGGCTTAGAGGAGGAGTGCTTATTGAAAGTGGACGCTTCATCGAGGAGGTCCTAATTAAGTAAGCGCAAGAATAAGACAAAAAGTAAAAAGAGAGATAACGCACATACAGTGTTAAGGAACTCTACTAGCACATGAAGGTAGAAATAAGTGGAACAGAAAAGAAGCTATTCTCCTGTATTGATTCCACTATAGTTGAAGCTTGCACATCAGTTTGCATTCTGATTGTTTGGAAGGAACACATACTTTTTGAACTTGTTCAGAAAGAGCTGAGTTTATGATGGCTTTGAGTTCTTTCACTGCATGAGTGTCTGAAAAAGTAAAAAAGAGAAGAGCAGCAGTCATTACTTTGCTAAGAGGGATACACAGAGAACTCATGACTCCCGCTTTGGGAGGACTTAGAGCAAGAGCTAAAAATCAAATTATTCAGCACCTTCTTGCTGAGAAGCGAGTGTATCCTCTTCTGTTTTCTCGGCATCACCAGTAACCTTTGTGTTGCAAAAGGAATGAAAATATAATTCAACTACAGCTGGGAGGAGGGGATTCTGGGGACAACTGGGGCTTCCCTAAAATACAAGCACATTTGCGATTTTTTTAATTGAAAACACTAGGTAAATTTTAAGGCATAGAGAACAATGAAGTGTGGCAAATGTGTTCAATTAAAAGATAATGCAAATAGAACATTAACAGAGTTGAGATCCTGACCGAAAGGTGACAAATCATTTGGCTATTTAAATGCAGACAAGGAGGGTCTTGGTTCCAAGACCTCTGAGGTCGCGTTCTAACCATTTGGCCCTTCGGGCACCAATAAATTTTAAAGAGAGAGAGAGAGAGCAAAGTGTACTGTCGCAAAAAAGGATTCACAACACAACCAATTAGGTTGTGTACATTAATTTTTTAGCAACACAGAAATTTTCATCCTACGGATAACCTTGAAGATAAGGCACAGTGCTTTCTACTGGAAAATTCATCTTTCTATATTTCTTTACCGAGCTCAAAACTTACCATCTTACTTCTTCTTTACAAAACATGACGTTATTGACATTGCCCATTCTAGCAGTATGCAGGACGCATGTCATATATGAACTTCGCAATGGGCCTTGCTTACCGTAGAGTCTCTGTCAGTAGCATTAGAGTCTGGAATCCGAAGATCTGAACACCTCTCTATATTTTGGATCATGTTTAAGTATTCTCGACCGATATATCGGTCAATAGTCAGTTGATGGTTGGCTGATACTTGCTCAAAGACTCGGTTGATGGTCAATGATTTCAACTGCCTATCGATCGAGTATCTGCCAGCTAGATTAACCGAATATTGACCTAGTGTCGACCAACTATTGACCAAGTGCTGACCAACTATTGACCAAGTGCTGACCAACTATCAACCAAGTGTCAACTGAGTGGCGACTAACATATCCGTTGATTATCGACTGACACTCAACCGATATATCAACCGATCTACCGGTCGAGAGCAACTACATGCACAGTAATCATGATCCAATATTTTTAGGTCTTTCTCTGAAATTTAACCCCAAGATATTTTAGAACATATTTTTTCTCTCCCGCTGAATATCCACGTGGGTATCTGTTCTCATAATTTAGTGTTAGATATGAACAATACTGTCCTGCTGCCGGTAGATTCCTGCATTCTCACCACTTCTCACCAGTCACTACTGTCCTTTACAATGTATCAGGATTGTAAAGTTACTTCTCAACTACAAGTGGGAGTGAAAGTTCATGAACGCACCTGTTCAGCCCCACCATCAGCTTCTTGGTCTGCTTCATCAACTAAACAAAAGGACATTTTGAAATGTTTATGGACAAGATGAAATGAGGGAAATTAGGGAAAACTTTTTCAGGTGCAAAAAAACATACTGCTGACATAATGTAAAGGATGCAAAGCCTAACTTAATTTGAATTCTCGCCATGGATCTTAGGATAGAAGAAAAAAAGCTTTGTTATCCTACCATGGAACAATAGTGACAAGATGCTGGAATGAACAAGTGTTAGTTTGAAAAGCAGTTATTTGAGAGCTATGGGTGATAACATGAAACAGTGCAATCATGAAACTTCTCTGCAGATAAGTTGGCTTACAAAGCTCTTGCTAGCTTAAGTCTCAAAGTTTACGACTATATTCAATGATAGAGACACTTATTGAACATCATAAATTAAAAGAAGAAACAGCTTCATACCTTCAGAAGGTTCTGGTGTCTCTGGCAATCCAACATATTTCAAACTAAGGTCAAGACAAACCTAACAAATAAAAAAAAAATTACTTCGTTGCACAACTTCTATTAAAATTCTTGCAGTGTAAGGTTAACATTTTCGTCATGCAAATGTCCACAAATTGTATTCTCAGATTTGATTTTATTGTATTAATCAGAGAATATACCTTTGGTGTGAATGTATACTTGTACATCTTAAAATGCCTGAAGTAACTGATAAAAATATAAATTGAAAAAAAAGAATTCAGAAAACATTGATTACCTGTGCTCTTCACATTTCAAAATTACACAAGCACAGAAAGATCATAGATTTGGGGGAAGGACACAAACGAACAGTACTTGCACTTCTGAGAATATTTTGATTGTCTAGCAAAATATACTTAAACCATGGAATCATGGGCCTCCAAAAAATAGAGATGAAGCATGCAGCTTCATGGTAATCTCCTCTGCCTGATTCTTTGTTCATCACAGATGCAATTCCACATAATGCAAACCATTGTAAAATAAGTAACAGCTACAGTCAAACCACAATTATCTGGACTTTGCATTAAAGCAACTCTAAGCCAATCAGACCTCAGTGGAATGTTCTTTACTAGTTACAACGCAAGCAAGCACTGCTTTTGCTTTGTAAAGCGAAACAACCTTGCCTTTACTTTGCTTTTCAGCGAATCTGATGTAATTTTAAGGAGAATATGGCTATGGATCTTAATTATGACTAAATAAATATTCATGGCAAAATTGGGACCAGAGAAAAAGTCTGCATTATCATGAAATCCGGGTAATCAAGGTCTGGATGATCGAGGTTTTGACTGTACAACCTGAGTTAAGTAAGAACCACTTTTATCATACGTGTTGACTGCACATGTGGTAAGCTTCTTCACTTGATCAACTGAGAAGAGAGCGATACTGTAGGGTGGTCTCTACAATGGATTTCCGTGTAACGACACAAAATTTTAAATATCAGTAAGCCTCAAGCAGGCTTTTCAAAACCTCTATTTAATACTTATAAATTCTTATAAGCCATTTATGTGTATTCTTAGAGCAAAGATAGACAACTATTGAACAAAATGTTACAACAGCTTATGGATGTCATTGTCAAGTGAGAAGCCTTAGTCAGTTTCTACTTTATAAATAGATCTGCACGCACAGGTTGATAAAAATGAAAAGTGACAAGAAAAGGTGACTATTTGGAATCAACATGCATGTGGAGTGAGTGAGTGGGTATGCGAGATTGAAATGGACCCAATTGAACATTTTATTTAATGTAAAAATGGTTGAGTCTGGACAAGTTTAATGGCTGAAGTAAAATCAGGCACTATTTGCTTACATAATTATGCAAATAATTACTGTGAAATAATCACATGGGCCCAACTACTGTAGCAAGTGATAGTTGGAGTGCAAGAATGCAATAAAACCTACACAACTTTCCCTCAACATCTAAGAGTTCAGAATTGAAGCATTGACCTCATCAAGAAGACAACAGCCCTGACCTCCACAGGCATAACATGACATAGCTTCCCAACCTGCTAGTTAAATGACTGTATACTAGGGGATATTGTTTGTTACTGCCTGACCTTATGGCTGTCATATGTCAACCACAGAATAAGTCCTTCAGCTGCACTGTAAGACTGCTTTCATTCATTGATGATAAATAACAATGACAATATAATAATATAAATTTCTAATAAAAATAATAATAACTTCAAATAACTGTAAGAAATAATAAGAAAAAAACATGTCATAGAACCTTGACAGAATGACAAAGAAGAAGTTCCTTGAAGTATTCAAAAACTGGCTCCACATTCCCATACGGTGTATCTGTAAGACATCAATAATACCTTAGCAATTCAGCCTATGCTGCTATTAAGGTGTCGAATCATTCACTTCACTTTCACTACTGTACTCTACTTTACTATACGACTGTGCATCCCCCATGTGCTATCCCATAGAAAACCATGGTGAAATGTTCAGGACTTTGCATTTATTGAGAACATGGAAACATGGAACATGGAAAGAAATTGTGGACTTCAGCTAATAAAACAAATGAGCTTCTCAATAAATTATGAGTTTCTTGTTCTGGCTTGAAGATGAAAAAACATTTTCATTGTAGAATTTCATTATTGGTTGTCCAGTCATGTGCAGGTTAGAAGTTCTCAAATTTTCAACCTTTAGTGTTCATATAAATTATGAACCACTTACTGTCTGAATTTGATTGGGCCAGAGAGGAAAATATTTTGTTTTAGTCCAGCCCTACCACATTCTGTCAATAGATACACAATTAGTGGTATTTTTGTTCTTACATGACAGTTTGACTAGTGATAATTATTATAGCACTTTGCTAATTTTCAAGTTGAAAATTTCATCAAAGCTTGTTTCATCAAACAAATCTGCAAAATTTGTCACCCACTGGTAACTTGAAAATTTTCTGAAATATTCATAGATGATTTCTCACAACATGTTGACACAACTATTTTAATATCACAGCTTTTAATTCATAAATTTAGTGGTTCTTGTTTGCAAATATATATTTTCTCACCAACAGCCATCTCATGAACACACTTGACAATAGAGAACCATGCTGACATTTGTTCTGCCGTAAATCCATTGTCCTTACCAAAAGTACAGTTGTTGGTCAAGGAAGAAATTTGATGCTAAAGCCAAATCAAAATTACCCACTAAAGCTGTATTAAATAATTTGAAACTAACATATTATAGATATAACAATTAGATATGATGAATATATGAAGTTCATATATTTTGAACTGCGGTTATAGATACGTATGATGCACAATCCTCTCAGCAGAGAGCGCTATTTATGCAATAGCAAAATCAGACCTGAAAAAAAAATCAGGCCTGTACGGGATTCGAACCGCTGGCCTCTGCGATACTAGTGCAGCGCTCTACCAATTGAGCTAACAAACAAACTGGGAACAGGCTGTTAAGTTGATTCGTAATAAACCCGTGATGATAAATCAGATATGATGAATATATGCCAGTGGTTCGAATCCTGTACAGGCCTAATTTTTTTCAGGTCTGATTTTCGCTATTGCATAAATAGCGCTCTCTACTGCGAGGATCGTGCATCATACGTATCTATACTGTATTGTAGAGGCCAGTGGTTCGAATCCCGTACTGGCCTGATTTTTTTCAGGTCTGATTTTCGCTATTGCATAAATAGCACTCTCTACTGCGAGGATCGTGCATCATACATATACAACAATTAGTAGTTAAATTGCTCAGTTGAGAGACACAATGGCCGTGTGGTTAGTGCACTGAACTCTGGGTCAGATTGCATCAGTGACTCTTGGTAGACCTGTACCAAATCTATTACAGGAGTGGCAATACTCCTTCAGCTTGTCCCTTCATGTTTAAGAAATCAGGAAAGCCAGGCCCCAATGCCATGCAGGCCTTTATGCACAAAAGAAAACTTATCTTTTTTAGGTGTAAAAGGATATTGTATCGTGTAGAAATATAGATCCACTAAGATGCCCTGCCTGAGGTCTTCTTTCCAATCTGTTAGGTGGAAGATGTCTGCCAATAGCCTTTAAAATGAAAAGGACAACTTCATCTTGTTTTAATACTTAAATCAGTTTCATTTTATATCAAATAGTTCAATTAGGAATAAAAGAAATCAAGTATAGATTAGTTTTGGGCTTATTGGCCTAAGTGCTAATAGCTAGAAAATTCAGCACTTTTGTAAGAGTTTATAGCCCCACTAATTATCACTTGGAGAAAATTTATTTTGCCAGTTCTAAGTTTTAAGTGCTTCTTAGCTTCTCTTCTTTCCCATGGATAGTGCTCAGAGTTCTAAAGTAGGAATGGAAGAGGGGAGAGATGATTCATACAACAGGCTATGATGTATGCTCTTCCAAAAAAGGAGAGCAATATTTTCAAAGCAGAGGTAAAAAGAGGCAAAGAAGTTGCAAGTTGAGAAATAGAAAGGGCAAATGACAACTACTATTAAAATAGTCTATAATATTTTTATTCTGGAAAAATCCTCATGGTTATAGTTGAGGCAAACCTGTATAAGTTGCTTATAATCTAAAATTAGAACTTTTTTCATCAAGGATGTGTTGTTTTAGTAATGCTAAAGGAAGGGGTAACTTTTGTTAAAAGTCAAAGTATAAACGAGTAACCGTTTGGAAGTCAAGTTAGGGAATTCTTGCAAACCATTCTATTGAGTGAGCTTCTGCACCAAGACTTACTGTTCACACCAGTATTCCCCATCACCCAGCACTTGTGTACTTGTTGATGCTAGCTGTCAGTCATTTAGTCTAATTTCTTTTATCCAAAATCAATTTCAATTTTAAATAGATTCTATCTTTAGTCGTAGCTGCTAGTATGTTTCTCTTCTTGACTAGTAATAAACCACACTTTCTATCAGTTTACCAGCTGACAAACTACATGGGATGCAGGGGGAACACTGGAAGAGTTTGTAAACCACTCAGCTGCAGTATATTGTGGTTTAAAGACTTTCTTATGTTCTCCCACCATCCTATGTGGTTTATCAGCCAGTAAACCAAGAGAAAGCGTTGTTTATAATTTCCTGTATAACATACAATACCAGTAAGTGAAGTTTGTTAAAAAACAACAATGAATTTAATCTTATTTTGTGATCAAGTAGCTGATTCGTCATGAAAACCATCAAAAAGTGCAGTAAAAACCAATCAAAGTGCCAGAAATTGAATAAACACAGTCAGCCAGAAGAGTAAAGACTGCAATTACTTTATTGCTGTGCAGCAAAAATGAAGGCTTAAAATGGAGCAATCAGTTAGTCAAACTGCATTTTATATAAAAAATTTGATGTTAGAAAAGTAAAATCTTTCTTGTTGTTTTTGGCTTTTACAGTGTCCTCTTCATTTCCTCCAAACCAGAGGCCTTATAATATAAAAGATCTGGGAATTCTTCTAGCATGGTACCATTTGACATGATGACAAGATGTTTCAGTTATCTATCGGCATACAGGAAAATAAACTATGGATTTTTGACCAATCAGAGTGAGCCTTATGTCCAGATTAAGTTATAATTGTGCTATATGAGAGTTGTGACGGTACTTTGTAAATATAAAAATAACAATAAAGTTTGTACATTTGTATGGATGATTGTTTGTATAGGTAATCACATGATTTTGAGTGCAATTTGGAATAAGCACAAGCAACTTTTTTCAAAGACTAACAAAATTGCATGAGCCCATAGGGCGAGTGCAATTTGTGGTCTTGGAAAAAATGTACAAGTGTTTATTTACTCCAAATTGCACAAGAAAAATTATGTGATTATGTATTAATTATATACATGAAAAAATAAGAGGCAGCTGATCATAATTATGCAGAAGAAAAGCCCGTGAATCATGTGTAAAAATAATTTATTCAAACCCTGCAAGTGACATTGTGCATTCAGTCATAACAAGTGCGTACAATCAAAACAACAAGATAAAACGAAATTTTCACATCTTTAAGGTGCAAAAAAGTTTAAAGTCCAGCCAAACAGTTCAAGGAATTGTTCAGTGAGTTTGGTAATTCTGTGAGTTTGTTTGATTATTGACCAATCAATGTCTGGTTTGTTAATCTCTTTGCACTGAATTAACCCTCTTCTGCACTGAATTACCTGAAAACTGCATTTACCTTAACCAATCAGAACTGAGTATTTTTTTCATGTATATTATTAGTCATATAGTTTCCTTTGTAACTCACCTTTGTACATCCTCTGGAGTTTCACTTCTCTGAATGTCTACCACATTGTCAAGTGTTAAGTCAGTCCTACAGTAATAATGACCACCAAAACACATTCTTAGGACTATACTCCCCCATTGATGCAGCACCATAGTTTTTTAAGAAACTTGCCCCTTTACAAATTGTAAGGAAATGAGCTAAGGGAACCTCAATTTACCAAAATTATTCAAGAGCCAAGTTTTCCCCCAAAAAAAAAAACAAAAAAAAAACAAGCATAACCATTGGTTTGGCTAATTTTAACAGACAATTAATTTTGCTCCAGCTGTGTCCAACTGGAATTTGTTCTCATATATTTATTTGTCTATTACAATTTAAAAATAACACGCCTTATGGAAGATCTGTAAAGGAATCCTTGCCCCATGTAAATACAGACCACCAAAAAGGTAATGGCGTATTAGATAACGGTGAAATATGCGGTTACCTCGGTCTGTATATTGTGAGGTTTAACACCACTAACTCGGTCTGTATATTGTACGATTTAACGCCATTATGTATATTGAGAGATTTTATGCTGTTAACTAACGGCATAACTTCGTTCTTTCGATGTTATATCTATTGGGAGATTTTATGCTGTTAACTAACGGCATTTTGTTCAGTCTTATATTTATTGGGAGATTTAACACCATTAGCTAACAGCGTAATTTCATTCATTCATGTTATGTATAATGGGAGATTTTAAGCTGTTAATGGCGCAATTTGGTTCAGTCTGTTATATATATTGAGAGATTATAATTATGCCAATAACTAACGGCATAAATTTGTTCACTGTTATATTTATTGGGAATTAACACCGATAACTAACAGCGTAATTTCGTTCATTCGGTGCTATATATAGTGGGAGATTTTAGGCTGTTAACTAATGGCGTAATTTGGTTCAGTCGCAATTTTATAATTATAGAGATTTTACGCCATGAACTAATGGCGTATTGTTGGTATTATAGATGTTGGAAGATTTTATGCTATTAACAGCATAATTTCCTTTAACAGGTAGTTCATATAATGGTAGATTTTACGCTGTTAACAGTGTAAAATCGCACAATAAGAACATATCCATATGTATATATTAATTATATATATATATATATGTACATATACCAGTATGAAGGCTACTCAATATGACTACATATGGATTTTAATACAGTTCTGTGTGTACTCATATTGAGTAGCCTTCATACTGGTAGTACCGCTCTTTGACTGTAGAGCACTTTTTTGGAATCATCAGTAAATGCCACTTCAATTGATATATGTGTGTATATAGATAATGTGGTAGGCGGAAAAAAACAACTACATATACATCCCTACAGAGCTGTTTTGTGGTTGCCCACTCATCAGGGGCAACCATGAAACAGGCCTGTAGGGATGTATATGTGGTTTTTTTCCGCCTACCACACATTATACCCCCTCTACTATTTGTATCAAGCACTGTTTCACAAACACCAAGTTTAATCCCTCTACATATATATTTTTTTTATTATTAAAAAAAATTTAGTTACTATTCAATTTATGATATAATCACACCGACCCGGATAGTGGCATTAAATCTCACAATAAACAGACCGTGATAGTCACATATTATGGCATTCTATATATTCCCAAAGGTAATTAAGTGACAATGATATTAAAAAAAAACCTCATTCCACCCGTAAATAAGACTATAACGATAAAAAATTTTGGATCTCGACCTAAATGTTTTTTTTTTGTTTAGTTTCAGAGAGAGTGCCCATAGGCTATACATTCCGTCTACCTACAATTCTATTAAAAATTAGTATTTTAACATGTTGGTTCCTACATATTCCTTTTTCAGAGTTAAGGACAATTCGCGAGTCAAGGACAATTCGTTAGTTAATTCGTGAACCCAGAATTCAAGCAATCCTTAAGGCAAGGCCTTGAAAATTTACTTTCTCAACATATAAGTATAATTATCTATAGACACTCCTGCTACAAATAAAATGAATTGAGGTGGAAAAATTAACTCTCCCAGTTGTTACAGAAAATTAGTGCGCCCTTCAATCCATCACACAGTGCTTTGAAATATTGCTATAGAGGATTTTGGGTCTTTCGCAGTCATTTTCACTCGTTTGGGATCATTATGATTAATTTCAAGTAATATGTGATTACGTGTAATTGTTTTAGGTCATCTTAGCCGGGACTTTTCTTGTTTTGTTTTGGTAACAGCAGAGTCAGTGTTTCATTGGTAACCGGTCAAGTTGCCCGAAAGTCATCTCACTTGAAGACACATTGCCCAGAACCAGAGTCGTGTTGCCTGAAACTCATAGTCATGTCACCCAAACTTTAATCGAGTGTTTTTTATCGAAGAAAAGTAATATCTTAAGTAAATTGTAAGGAATAACCTCGTAAAATGTTGACTCATAAACTGTTTTGGTCCTCTAACCTACAAGAGAGACTCAAATACTGCTGTTCATTTTAGCGTTGTCCGTTGCTATGACGAAAGGCTAACGCTCAAAACGTCAGCTTTGTAACTCATTATGGTTGCTCGTTACTCCTTAAGTAAATTGCAAGGAATAACCTTGTAAAATGTTGACTCGCAAACTGTTTTCGTCAGCTAATCGATGCAAATAAGAAGTTAAAGAAAGACTCAAATATTGCTGTTCATTTCAGCACTGTTCATTGCTGTGATGAAAGGCTAACACTCGAAACGTCAGCTTTGTAACTCGTTACAGTTGCCAATTTATAATTTCAACTTAGTTGATATAACCAAATTACCTTATTACCCCCACCAACACAGCACCGCAGTTTCTTTATAAACTTTAACCCTTTATTCATAAATCTAGTCCGGACTAGTACAAGAGTGCGTGTGGGTGGAATAGCTTAAGTTCTCTGATTCCAACAAAGCATGTAGTATGAAAGTTCCAACTGAGATTACTGTCTTGCAAAAATATCTCACCCTTTCACTTGTCAATAGAATTTGAAAACAATTGCGCATGGAACAAAGAAAATGGTTTCACCCACAAGTAGCCCTACAGTGTAACTCGAAAAACGTTAACCTAAATATGTGTATGCCCAGAACGAATGTGAAATGCTGTGAATAACGTGACTTTTCCTGACACCATAAAAATGTTGGAGTGAACAAGTTGTCTCTCTCACTGAGAATCAAGCAGGGATTGGAGAGGTCATTTGAGCACAAAATACAAAAGAGCCGTTTAAAAATCTTTATCGAAAAAGTATGGTTACGATTTTGGTTTTATCTGCAGCACTTACTCTCTCGAGGTCGCGTTTGTTTTGTGCTGTGGCAAATTAATGCTGTTGAAAGCATTAATTTTTCTGACTCCGGCAAAACGTGTAGTATCAAAGTTCTAACTAATTAAGAAATTACCATCTTGTAAAAATATCTCACCCTTTCACTTTTCAATAGAATTTGAAAACAATTGCGCGTGGAACATAGAAAATGGTTTGGCCCAGAAATAGGCCTAACGTGTAAAGGTCCATTTCAAACGGTTTCAACATCTGACCAACATGCATTCAACAAAAGTTGAACGCATGTTTGGCAAATGTTGGATGCAAAAACAAAGTTGTTTGGAGGCCTTTCAATGGCCTCACATAGGAAAAGTTGAATCAATGTTGAACGAAAGTTGAAACTGATTTAAACTTGATTAAACACACTTTCAACAAGCTCTCAACATTTTTATGTTTTCAACAATGTTGGACGACCTGTTTAAATGCACCGAACATTTGTTTCAACAAAGTCTTGAATACATGTTGAAGCAAATTTGAAACTGTTTAAATTGGCCTTTACATAGGAAAAATTGATTCGATGTTTAACGAAAGGTTAAATCAATTTAAACTTGATTCAACATGCTTTCAACATGCTTTATGTTTCCAACAATGTTGGACCACCTGTTTAAATGCATCAAACATTTGTTTCAAAAAAGTGTTGAATGCCTGTTGAAGCAAATGTTGAAACCATTGAAATGGGCCTTAACTCGAAAAACGTTCACCTAATGTTTAGGTACTTCGGGCATGAAATACAAAAGAGCCATTTAAAAATCTTTATCGAAAAAGTATGGCTACCATTTTGAAGCAAATTGAACGCTGTTGAAAGCATTCAATTTTCTGACTCTGGCAAAGCGCATGGTATAAAAGTTCTCACCCTTTCACTTGAAAAAACTGAAGTTTACTCGGAAAGGTGCGAAGTTGGCACAATTTAGTGTTTCCACTGCTTCCAAGGTGAAGTCCAATGTAATTTAAATACGAATAGCAACAATGCATAACTACACTGTGTTGTTTATGAATAGAATTTTTCACACATATCAGGAAAATACACCAAGTTCTCTTAGTTTGATTTATCATATAAAAAACTATCTTGAAAAGGATTACAAGAACGTGAGTTATCTAATATATACTTATATAGATCCCAAAAAAAAAGTAAGAAATGGAACTCGGATAACCCTTTCGCTTTATCAAAATTTCACTTAATTTTACCTCTTTACTACAGTTTTAGTTCTTGTAACTCAACTGTTGCTGGTTTTTTTTCTTTATAAGAAAGGTAAAGACTAAAACTAATATTACAGTGACTTGATTTAACTTTTATTTACTTTTGTACTTTTTTATATTGCACAGGTTTTGAGAGGAGTTGTGTCAAAACTTCCACAAGAGCCATCCGTTCAAAGGATTGTCCTTGACTTCAAGTGAGCAATCTGGTCCACGGCTAAAGAAGTTCTGCCCGGAGTCCAAATTTCAGGATGTTCTTTTCACTGGAACCAAGCGATGTGGAGAAAGGTTAGTATAAAAAATTCGGGTAGTTAAGAGTTGTAAACCCAAATACCGTTAAATTCTGATTTTTTATGTTCATTTTATGTTTCTCCGATTCAAGAGCTTGGTCTGGCTGTGGCTACAGCAATGATAACGGCATTGACCGGTTTGTTAAGATGCTCATGGCACTACCTTACCTGTCTAACCAAGAAATTCCAAAGAGTTTCCAGCCGCTAAAGTTGCAAGCAACCACCCCCATGCTTGATGAGTTGGTAGACTATGTAGACAACCAATGGATCAACACCAACACTTTTCCGCCCAGTTCCTGGAGCGTCTACAGACAGCCTGTCCGTACCAATAATCATATCGAGGGATGGCACAACTCCCTCAGCCGACACGCTGGTGGTAGAGTTCATCTACCTTTCTACTTACTGGTTCAGCTGCTCCACCGAGAGTCCTCCGTGTGCGCCATTTAAGTTTGACTGGTCAACGCCAGAAAACTGCAAAGGATCCAGCGTAAAAAATATCGCGCAATTCAAGCAAGAATCTTTGGCTACTGGGAGGACTATGCTGCGAATAAAATTTCAAGTAGGCGACTCCTTAAAGCATGCTCTCACTTAGCAGATGGACCAGCTCGTGCAGATTAGTTTTCTTTAGTTTTTGCTTGCGTTTAGGAAAGTAATGATATTTATCTAGTTTAAAAGAAAATACTTTATTTTATCACGATAAAAAAAAAAAATCATACATAGGATCTCGTTTGTTAGAGTTCAGTTCCTACCTCATTTTTTATCACATTTCACTAGCGTTTAGGAACCTGATAATTATTATTATTGTTCTAGTTTTAAAGGAATAGTCGCATGTAATAAGTATTTTTTTTAATAACAAACTTACCTTAAGTTGGCATTTGAATTTGTTTTCAAGGGGCGGGCGTCACTTGGACAACTCACACGTGTAATAAGGTTTCGTTACCAGCAATAAATAGGTTTGTATTAATGCGTGTTTCAATTTACCGCAACGTCACAATATTGCTTGGTAACTATGTGATGAGTCTTGAGCACGTGCTCTATTCAAGATGGTGGCGTTTTCCAATGTTACATAGTGATGTGAACCTTCGTTCGAAACCCGAGAATGCTTCTACACATAAAACAACATACGAGAACCATACTAGTACCGCAGAGGTCAGTGGTTCGAATCCCGTACAGGCCTGAATTTTTTGCAGGTCTGATTTTCACTATTGCTTAAATAGTGCTTTACTGCGAAGGATCGTGCACATATACGTTTCATAACCGCAGTTCATATATATGTATTTCATATATATTTGTTGTTTGATTTATCATCTACGGGTTTATGTCGAATTAATTTGATGGCCTGCTCCCAGTTGGCTTGTTAGCTCAATTGGTAGAGCGCTGCACTAGTATCGCAGAGGTCAGTGGTTCGAATCCCGTACAGGCCTCAATTTTTTTCAGGTCTGATTTTCACTATTGCTTAAATAGTGCTTTACTGCGAAGGATCGTGCACATATACGTTTCATAACCGCAGTTCATATATATGTATTTCATAT